TTTATTTATTTTCTGAGGTTCTCGCGGGTATTTGTATGTGCTGAAGACGGGCTGAAGACACAAGCCTGAAGATGATGAATGAGACTTCATCGAAACGTTGCCTAGATACTTCCAATCTTACGCGGGAGAAAACCTGAATAACCAAAGATCCACATACTTATACCCGCGAGAACCTCAGAAATATATATATATAAATATTCTTAAGTTTTCGCGGGTACTTACATGTATGGCATTCAACTTTGTTCAGGCATTTTTCCACGTCATTGTAGTTGTGCTTTTAAAGTTGTAGCAACCTTTCGGCAGAATCTCATCTGCCATCATCAGGCTTCTGTATATATATATATTTGATTGCAGCGTTAATATATAAGCAGTTTAAACAATTCCCCAATTTGCCATTGGCCTCTTTGTGGTACCAGCTTTGTTGCAGTGGATGCCACATGCTCCATTAAAGAACAGAATAAAAATCCATTCAATCGTTCAGACGTGGAAGAGGAAATTTTGAGCTTTGGAATGAAAACTCACAAGTCAGGATTCTGGATTCCGAGGTCTTGTGTACGGGTTCAAGTGTCAACAACATATTTTATGCAAATGGATGGAATTGCCGACTCTGCAGTAGAACTGCTGATGTAACAAAGGAGAAGGTGATTCTTTTCTTCCTTCCTTCTTTTCTTCTTTCAAGCCGTAAGTAACTCTCTACCTCAACTCTGGAGCTTGAAGCTTGAAGACTGGATTGATTTCTCGCGTTAGCCGAAACCTTTGGACCTTTCGTCAACAAGACAAAGACCTGGATAATTTCTCCAGAGATTAGAAAGCCTTCCCATTCTTTAATTCCCAAATTAACTTTCATTAAGGCCATTCTAAGGTTATACGGGGCTTTTCAAATGGGAGATGGATTGATTTAACCTGTGGCTTATCATATATGGAGTAGCAATATAAATTAACATTTCAACCAGAGTTAGTAGAACCCAATAAAGTATCGATGTTCAAAAGATCTGGGTTCAAATACCAATATCTTAGGCCATCTGATCATTGAAGCGCAACCTCCTTTATATTAAAGAAATGAAATATTGGACTTGTCTATGCTCTCAGCCGGTCATGATGGGATCTACAGTTTGATGTAGGACCCACAATCACACTGAGGGGAGGATACCATGCCCCAATGTATACAGAGAGTCTCACTGGATGCTGTGTGAGGTATAAATCCTATTTAGGCAGGGGTGGGATTCAAATTTTTTAACAACCAGTTCGGTGGGGGTGACTAGGTGGGTGTGGCCATGTGACTGGGTGGGCGTGGGTTTTTTTTTCCTCTTTTTTGGAAGCACCCCCACATTTTCTGCCTCTTGGGCCTCAGGGAAGCCTTCTGGATGAAGCAATAAGACAGTGAAGGAGATCCTGGAACAGCTGATCATTTGAACAGCTGATCGTCAGGAGGGGAAAAATTACTTTAAGGAGTGACTGGGTGGGGAAGAATGCAGTCAGTGATGTTGGGCATGAATGTGATGTCACGCATGCACGATAAGGAGGAGAGAGGGAGGGGAGGAGAGAGGCAGGCCAGCCTGGGGCGCAATTTGCCGTTCTCTGAATTGCACTGAATCATAACAACCGGTTCTATAGAACCGGTGTGAACCAGTAGAAAGCCACCCCTGTGTTTAGGATTGTCCATTGCTAATGTAGTTCAAAGTTTGCCAGCTTTTTTACGGGCTCATTTATATGTCTTCCTATAAC